TGTTGTTTTGGTTGCCAAAGTTGGCGAAATCTTGAACTGATGTGATCTAGTAACGGTCCAGTTTGCTGGGTCAAAACGGTACCACATCTAGACGAGATATTAAATAGCAGTTGCGTGGAGTTGTGTATTGATTCGTACATTTGAATTTTTGGCTTTGAACCTCTCTACTATTTTCTTAAGCATTTGGACCCTCCCAAATTTTTTTTTTTTTTTAACTTCCTGTGAGGTTTAATAATTTACGATTAAAATCTATCAATTGGAACCAAGTTTATATAATTTCTTATACACGCATGCAAAGGTGAATTCCTGCAATGTGTTGAGATAACGATCTTTTCAGCAATTCAAAATGATGAACTTGAAACAATCAAAAGATTAAAAAAAGTGCCGAGTGTGTACTCAGTTAATTCCTTCTGAAACTTAAGTGAGTCGGCATATAAATCATAATGCAGAGTGTATTCTTCATTCAAGATTACATACCTTAGTCTAATTTTTGGAGGGATATTTATACTTGTATTTGTAATGATGGTCCTAACCCTGAGTCTCATCCTAAAGTTTAATGGCTTGTGCTCGAGTATCATTTCATGAAGTCTCATTTAAGGCTAATCTTCCCGGGTGAATGGATCCATACTCAGGAACTACCGAGCATTCATAGCCTGATTCTCGATCATTAAATGCCTCATTTTGACACTTGGAAACTACGCCTGAGCTTTTATGATGAGGAAACAAATATTCTCGGGATGATCCACAGACTTCATGTCGGCATGATGGCTATTAATTTATCTTAATAACGACTGTCTCCACTTTTTTGAGAGATTTGACACTTATTAATAGCTATGTCAAACCACTCAAGGTTCATATTAATGAGTTGTCAGATGCTATTTAATGTTGGGTTCCGAGGGACGTACTCGGCCCCTTATGCCATAACTTCTCGGTGTCTCTCTCAAGTGAGTTGTGCGGGTTCTGACTGCTGTGGTTGTTCATATGGCCATTTTTACTGGCGAACCGCTTAATATCCTGTCAATTGTCCCCTAGCCTTCATTTTCCTTGCGTCATGGGACAGGTGACGCACGAAGAATGGAGGCTTTTTTAGCATGCTTGATTAATAGGGACAGTTACTCGCACATCTAGCGCCTGATTTCAAATTTTCAAATGATGGCTTGTGTCTCCTCGATTCCTGCCCACGTCCCAATCAGTATAAATAGGGAAGTTTGTGTTTCATTCGAGACTCTTTGGACACTCAAACTCTCAAGCTATAACACTCTCCTGAGTAACTTTCTTTTTGGTTATTAATTTTTTGACATTTTTGTTGTTTAAGTTGTAACCATTTTTTTGCCAATTCTGTAGTTTAATTGTAACCAACGCTAGTATTGATGGTTGTCGTGGTGAAAAATGTTTTTGATGATGGTGTATAGTGTTAATCACCTTGTAATGTTCAACCATTGTTGGTTGGTGAGAGCCTGAGAGAGAAAAAAGGAGAAGAAGAGGAGGTTGGTCGACTATAAAGTTAATTTTGCTACGGTGAACTCTCTATTATCTTCTTTGTTTTTTTTCAATAATTGAGAGAATTTTTACTATAACAATTTTCAAAATTAGGGATCACTATTGAAATACTTGGAAGTATCATATGGTTTTACAAATATTAAGGGATGCCATTATAAATGACCTTTTCCCTCCCTCCTATTGAGTATAAATATTTGGCATAGTAATGCCTAGAAGAAACTTAAGGTTGTGACAAAAAAGTCAACTCTTTAATGTAAATCTCATGCCTTATAAGAAAACTATGAAAAATGTGTTTTTTTTTTTTTGAATATGAAAAATATAAAACAAGAAATATAATTCTTAAAACAATAAAAAAAGGAAACTATCTAGTAGTTTTGTTTAGTCTACACAATGACATTATCACATTATAACTTCTAAATCATTCAAACATGATGCCTTGCCACATATTTATACAAACAAATGATGTATTTATCAGTACTTCTGCGGCAAAAACAATTATAAGAATGTCTGAAAGTTTGTGGACCAACATCATTTGTTCAAAAGCGATTTCTTATCAGCGTATTAGTCAATTATAACTCGATGAATTTAATTAATTGTATTAAATAAACTGGTACTAATCTGATTGTTTATTAGAACCTCTTTCGCTCTCACAAGAATGTACCACTCTTTAAGGTTCTCATGAACTAAAAATCTACTCAGATTTGAACACTATCAAAACACCTTTACAATTAATAGGTCCCTGAATTGATAATATTATTCCTATCCCGATTGAAGTGGGAAAAGGGATATTTTCATTCTCTAAGGCTCTGTTAGGTATGTGAGAATGGAGCATGAGAATCAAATTATCATAACCAATGTCTGATTTTGCAGTAGTGAAAATTTGGTTGTAATACCATTGCATGTTTAATCTCATTAATATATGATTAGATGTTCTTAAATATGAGATGATATTACCAAATACCAAACTACTTGATAAAAAGTTCAAATCTATTGGCACCATAAAACCTAACCCTACCACATGCCACCACCTCCACTACTTGCTCCTCCACCACCACCTCAACTAATATAGCCCACATCCACTCCATTTCCACCTCCACCATTCCATTGATCTTTATTGTCAAGATCATTGACACCACCACCGAGGTTCAGGTCTCGGGTCCAATGTATATATCTTGAGTCAATTAACAGTACACATTTATGTTCATAAATTTGGTGTCTCGATTCTAGATTTTGGGGTTTGTGTTTGGATCCTAAAATCTTGGGTTCTAGAACCCGAATTTGGGATAATGTCCCTTCTTGTTGGTTCAAGGTCTGAGGTCTGGGTTTTCGATTTGGGTCGTAGTCTCAGGTATGGATTTCAATTCTCAAGTTCAAAAATTATCCAACCTTTTGAATAGATTTATAATTATATTCTAACGCTTAATTTTAACGTAAACCAAACATTTAAATGGTGATGCACATTGCATTTCATCCACACATTTATACTATTAGCACTTAAAAGTATTATCGTATATCAAATACACCCTAATTATATAAAAAAAATCAAATGGTAATCAATGAGCATAACCTAAAAATTACATCACTTTGAGTTAACTTTATTTCAGAATTTCTTTATCTTTATCCCTGAGATTCTTCGATATATTAATTAGTGCCATGAGAATCTCGTCTTAATACGGTATGATTAAGACTCTAACACAACCTTTTTTTTTTGAGTTCATTGAACACATCCCACATCCCCATTACGCGCTTCACTTGCGTGTGGGTCTAGCATTCACGCCCTTTGCAAAAAACCAGCTCAAGGACACCATTAGCCATCAAGACAAATTTTCTATGTCATTCACATGTAAGCCAATTGGTCCTCCGCATCACTATCGAAATGTCCAGAGATACCATGTTTGAATCTTCATAATTTTTTAAGATTAATTTGTAAAAAATTTATTTATTATGAATATCTTAATTTCAATGTGAAAGATTTAACTTTGACTAAACTCAAAAAAAAATTAGTCAAGACGTACATAAATTGACCCGAATATTCGTAACTGTTAAACTAAAAATAAAATCCTAAAAATATTATACATATATATTGTTTTGCCTCTATATTGTGTTTGAGAATTATTAATCATTAACACATTTTGTGTACTCCAACAATGAGCACATGGTTTATTTTATTTTATTTTAATTTCTGTCTTAATATATATTATAAACATTTATAATTATCTTTTTTCTTTTTGTCAAGTGGATCTACATGTGCCATGACAGTTTTAACTATCCTATAATATATGAAACTAATCCGAGCAACTTTCAAACTTAAGTCTAAAATCAAATCAGAGTTAGGGTTAATTATAAAATATCTCTTTTAACTTTTCGTACAACTCACTTCTTCAAGTTTTAATTTCAACAAATAGTTTTCTTTAAGTTAAATATTTTATAATTAACATCAAAAATTATTTTTAGACAATAAAAATTGTCAAAAGTTAAAAATATTAAATTCATGTGATCTCTATTTATTGAAAAGAAATAATTATCCTTACACCTATTTTTCTTTTGTACCAAATATCCATACTTCCCCTTTTATCCTTATACCATTCCATGTTTCCCTGCCTCGGATAGTTAACTCCCATTCACTTTTCTCTCCGGTAGAAACCTTCCATTCCTCCTATGATGAGGGGAAGGCGAAAATTTTATTATTTTTTTAGTCTTTATTTTCTTGTTTTCTTATTTTTTAGGGACAAAGTTAATATCTTAAAAAAATATGAGAAGTAATGTACAAGATAGATGATATAATGATTTTTTTACGTGTTCAGCCACGGTTGATAGTCAATTTAATCTCTTGTAGCATTTAAAACCACATAAAGCCGATTACAATAAGGGACATAATTAGAGGGACAGATTGAAATTAACCCTATTTTTTAATGAAAACCCAATTCATGAATCCTACAAATTATTCAATTAATAATGTTAGTCAAAAATTTCTTTTGGCAAATTTTATTTTTGTAGTGTTTTTATTATATTTTCACAACTTTATGACCATAAAGTATATCATTCTATGATAATGAATAAGTCAAAAAAAAACTATAAAAATAAAAAATTAACTCTCTAAATAGAAGTTTTTTAGTTTTTTGGTATAGTGCTCAATTCAACTAAGTTTAAACTGTCTCCAAATTTTTTTTTTTTTTTTATATTTATCTTTACTTTTATACGATAAAAAACATGACACGTATAAAAAAAATCAATAAATTTTGATAGGAAAAAAGAAAAGAAACCCCAAACCCAATTAATTAGTAAATCTTATTTAGTAATTTGGTGCCTTATCCCCATTTTAGACTACTAATTTACTTAAAACTAAGGCACCAAATTCAAAATTGTCGCCAACACCTTAGCTGGCCCCAGTGAGTGAGTGCAACACGGATTCCACAGGAGCGTGAAACATACACCACCATACCCAGGCGGCCAACTCAAGACCAGATCTCATTTCTGGCGTCTCTCCTGACTCCTTTTCTCTAACACGCAATTAGACTGTAAAAAACTCTCTTTAAGCCAGCCAGCCAGCTAGCTTTGGCTTCCATTGACAGCTCCTTTGATTCTCTCTCTCTCTCTCTCCCCCTCTCTTTTCCCAAGAAGCAACGTAGCAACCCCAGAAACACCTTCCCTCAACAAAACCAGGCATACCCTCTCTCCCTCTCCTATTTCATATAAATCTCTCTCCTTTACTGTGTTCCAGCATCCAAGTCTATACTCTCTCTCTCTCTCTCCGTGTGTCTGAAGTTGGTTTGTGAGATAAGGGATGGTGCAGCACCTGCGATACCATCAGCTGAAAAAGGGTGAAGAGTTTGAGGTTGATGAAGATGATGAGTCACATGCTCTTGTTTTGGTGTGTGGAAATTCTGGTTATAACAAGAGAACAAGACCAAAACTTTTCTATCTTCTTTTTCTCTCTCTTCTCTCTTGCAGCTTGATTTTAGCCCTTCAGTTCCTAACCTCTACCTCAACTTTTTCTCTCTTATGTAAGCTCTCTCTCTCTCTCTCTCTCTCTCTCTCTCTCTCTCTCTCTCTCTCTCTCTCTCTCTCTCTCTCTCTCTCATCTGTTGTTTACTTTGCTTTTTTCCGTGTTTCTGTCTTCTTATTTCTTTTTTGTTATTTATTTATTTTTCTCTTTCTGGGTTTTGCAGATTCATCGGGGTTGAAGATGAAGCCCATGCTGCTGGAGTGGATGCAAATGCTTCAATATGTTCTTCAGTCCCTAATGGTCAGTACTCTCTCTTTCTCTCTCTCTGTCTATCGTTTATTAGTATTTCTTAAACAACAATAAATAGATATTCAAAGCAATTGAAAGATTCACTTTTGTTCATCAATCTCTATAGTTTTGTGTTTTGATGGATTTTAATGTAATCTTGGTTAATTTTTTTAACATCAAAACTATCACCAGTAACACTCTTTTGCCCTCCAATCTCTTATTTCTGCCTTTTCTTATTATGATGTTTAGTCAAAGCTGGGCTTTATGAAGTGTTACCTTTGTTCCTTAATGTAAAATATAGTTTTTTGTGTATTTTTTCCCATTTATATCTGTAGTTTTGAAGGTTTTAATCAAAAATGGGTGCAATTATGTTGTTGATTTTTCCCTTATTGGGTTTTCAAGGTTTTGACAGTATGTTCTGTTCTAATTACAGGGACCATATGTTGTGATAGAAGCAGTATCAGGTCTGACATATGTATCATGAAAGGGGATGTAAGAACACACTCTGCTTCCTCTTCAATCCTTCTTTATACCTCAAAAAACACCAATGGTTTCATCAACTATGTTTCGGGTGATGGCGAAGAAGATGAAGGAGAGGAAATCCAACTCGAAAAGATTAGGCCATATACCCGAAAATGGGAAGCAAGTGTAATGCAAACCATTGATGAATTAGACCTCATTTCCAGGACTGGAAATTTGGGGAATGGTCATCACTGTGATGTTCATCATAATGTTCCAGCAGTGTTTTTCTCGACCGGGGGATATACTGGTAATGTTTATCATGAATTCAATGATGGGATTTTGCCTCTCTACATTACTTCTCAGCATTTGAACAAGAAGGTTGTGTTTGTTATTCTTGAGTATCATAGTTGGTGGTATACCAAGTATGGTGACATTCTTTCACATCTTTCGGACTATCCACCGATTGATTTTCATGGAGATAATAGAACCCATTGCTTCCCAGAAGCCATTGTTGGTCTAAGGATCCATGATGAGCTCACAGTGGATCCTTCTTTGATGGAAGGGAGTAAGACCATAAAAGATTTTCGGGACCTTCTAGACCGAGCTTATTGGCCTCGAATTAGAGGCTTGATTGAAGATGAGGAAAGGGAAGCCCAATTGAATATGACAGGGCAACTTGCTTTACCACCATCATCCAAGATCCCAATGGAAAGAACAAAAGGAATGGAATTAGTATTAAAGAGACCAAAACTACTCATACTATCTCGAAATGGGTCAAGGGCAATAACTAATGAAGATTCATTGGTGAAGATGGCGGAGCGAATTGGTTTTCGTGTGGAGGTTTTGAAGCCTGCGAGTACATCAGAGCTGGCAAAGATTTATCGAGCTCTTAATTCAAGTGATGTGATGATTGGAGTCCATGGTGCAGCCATGACACACTTCCTCTTCATGAGGCCTGGCTGTGTGTTCATCCAAGTGGTACCCCTTGGAACTTCATGGGCTGCAGAGACTTACTATGGAGAACCAGCAGTGAAGCTTGGTTTGAGGTATATTGGCTATGAAATCCTTCCAAGAGAGAGCTCATTATACGACGAATACAATAAAAATGATCCTGTTCTGAGAAATCCAAGTGCTGTGACTGAAAAAGGATGGGAATTTACTAAGAAGATCTATCTTGATCGTCAAAATGTGAGGTTAAATCTAAATAGATTTGGGAAGCGGTTGGTTCGTGCCTACGACTACTCTGCCACAAGGAAGAACCGGAATGTTCATCTTCAGTCACAGTAGTTCTCAATCTTCTATGAACTGCAGCCATTATTTACTCTTGAACACATTCAATCGAATTCTTCTGCATTGTAAACTAGTAAGCAAAAGATTGGGAAGATGCTTGTATAGGTTAGTGAGATTAAATTTCTTCTTCTGTACATTTAAGTAGCATAACAACTGAGCTCAATTTTGGTGTATATTAAAGCTTTTTGGGAAACAATTTATTCTTTAATTTTTCCTGTATGCTCTTAGTTATTCCAATGTAGTCAAATCCAATTTCAGTTTTAGAGCTTTTGCTGCATTTTATCCTAATCTTAAATCTATGTTAGTTTGATGAAGAATTGAGTTAAATATGATGATCAAAAAGAAGAGTAGCCTCCCTAGAACCTGGCAAAGTAATTATCTATGGATTCTTGAGTAATTCTCAACCAACATATTCCATTCATTTCCGAAAAAAGTATAACACACATAATACTCCTTACCATAGGAGCATTCTCAACCAACATATCGAAAAGACTATAACCCAGAGAAGACTCCTTACCTTAGAAGCGGGATGAGTGATACATCTGGCACTGTTTTTGTGCTCTTATTTTGCTGTTTATGGGATAGTGTTAGTAGACCAGGAAAGGAAATTTTGAAGAAATTTGTCAATGGAGATTGCTAATGTTTTCCTTTTTTGCTGCTTTGGTTTTTTTAATAGTAGTCCCTGTCCCTTGAACATTATTAGGAAGGCTTGAGACCTTTGAAAGAGACGATTGTGTTTTGTAAAACAGAAATAGTTGATTGTTGAAGGTTAGGAAGGTCAAGGATTAGAGTTTCGAAACTTTGTTATATAAATGGAACTATTCATATCTACTCATTTAACCAATAAGTTGTGCTTTCTTACAACAACTAAGACAATGATGAAAGTAACAAAGTTGTTTTCTAGCTATTTGGGTACGCTACATGAACTTTGTTTCGTCATTTTGTCCTTCAAATCCCATTAAATTTATAGTTATTTCATTACCCTAACTGTTTGTCCCTCAACTAGTTTGGGAGGGCAAAAGGAATATTGGTAATCTACTTCCTAAAAAATTATGTTTACAAGCTTGAGACTTGCTATTTTGAAGGTAAGACATCAAACAAACTTAGAAGGAAGCTATTGTTACAGACATGAATAAAACAGTGTCTGAGTTCCAATTTCGGAATGTTCTGAATTCGAATCTTGGTAATTCTTTTGAGCTAAATCATGAGGGATTTATCCCCTCTCATGATACCGTAGTCCCAACGTGGATGACTAGCATTTGACCTAACCGATGAGAGAATTAGTCGAGGTACGCGTAAGCTACTCCAGACACCCATAACCATTCAAAAAAAAAAGAAATAGATAAAACAGTATCTCAATTCTGGGTTATTTCAATGATGCCTTTCCTGCTTTTGTTTCATAATAGCAATCATGAGGTTCTGGTTTTTCAAAGAAAATCCTCTGTTTCTGGTTTAATACTCCAATAATCAAATAGTGGTTTGAAAATTTTCATTTACGGCACTTTGTGGGTGAATCATGTCCAGCAATGAGGATGGAGTTAGATATGGATGTGATGTTTTTGATGTGGACTTTTTCCTGATTTTGGGTTATTGGTGGTATTGTTATCAACAAATGTTTGGTGCATCAAAAACCTACAAATTCATAAGCTAACGAATTTGAGATTGTTATCTGGGCATTCTAACTCCAACCATTGCATTTCTGGTGAGAATTCAATAGCAAATATGGTAATTATATTTTACAAATACTGAAACATATGATCATACGTTGTTTAGACTTATGATTTTAACTCAAAGTTCAAGCGTGCATAATCATTCGCATATTATGCGTATAGAATAAATTGAAATTCTCATTTTTGTTCAAGTCATATATCACTGAAACTTTTTCAAGTAGTAGTTAAATTCGTTTCTGAAAGCTTTTATTTATTCGCATTTTGATCTTACTTTGTAAAAGTAAATTCAACTCATCTTTTATTATAAAAAAAAAAAAGTAATGTAAAATGTTAGGTCTATGTCCATTTTTCAATCCCCCTTTTCTCTCCCTTAATGGAAATCAAACTGGCATAACCACCCTTTTGACCCCTTCATTTTGCAATAATTCGATTGAGAATGTGTAATGATCTCCACTACACAATTTCATGTCAAATGCAAAGGGATTTTGTATTTGTTAAATAAACAACAAAATAATCTTTTAGTTGTGTCCTTTGGATGGTTTGAAAAAAAAAAGTAATGCATCAAAGGGAAACCCCATATAATCCTGCTTTTATATTTGGAAGAATCGCACTTTGCACCCAAAAAGATTTTATAAAATGCACTTTGTACTCTCAAAGACTAATTTTTTTTTTACTGAATTAAAAGTGTTACAATGTGACTCTTCCGTTACTTTTCATTACTCGTTATGTCAAAAGTCACCCCATCAATACTGCAAAATAAGCAACGAAAACTAATAGTAGGGTCACATTACAATATTTTTAATATATTATAAGGTCGTTTTGTTGCAATACTAAGAGGTGTATTAAAGAGTCATAACAAATTAAAAAAATTTAATCCAACGCTATAGTGCATTTGGTTGCAAAAAATATTCCATATTATATATAATCTTATTGCAAATACTTATCCAAATAGTACACTTTATATCTATACTATTGAGCCGATTATAATACTTCATATTAAGTTATAAATTTATTATTTTACCCTTCAATATAAGTCTAGTTCAAGTCTATTAGGTTATAAATTTATTATTTTACCCTCCAAATAAACAAAACATTAATAACTATACAAGATTAATGATTTTTTGATCAATATGTAATTAAAACTCTATTATCTCACCCTTATCCGGTGTCTTACCAAACTGGATTACAATGAGTATTAACTTTAACCCATATTTAATCTTGTGTTTTATCCGCTTATACAAAATTAGCTTATATTAACTAATACAATCTTTTTTTTTACTATACGACAATCAAACAAGTCTAGTGTAATGTGGCAAATCTATTTTATGGGTATAAAGTAAAATTTTAAATCTTTTGAATTGCAAAGTACAATTGGCCCTTTGTATTATGAAGTTGTTGTCTACATACTTTAAGAACATGATAAAGATCCACACTTTTCCTTTTAAAGGGTTGTATTAGGCTGTGTTTAGAATCTTCAGCTTGTGACATGCTGCAGTCCAGCTGTCGTTTATCATTAAGCAGATGCATTAGGTGAATGGCGACTCTGAAACCTTTGGAGGATATTACAACCTGTTTTTTGTTGATTTCATCTATAACTAAACAACTAAGCCCACAACTGTTAACATGGTCATGGTTAGTTTTGCATATGACCCCCACTTTGCATGAACAGTTTGAGATCTGCCCAGATTAAAACTTGTTCCGAATCATTCACTTATCAAAGGAACCGAATTTCAGTGCAATTTTAAAACCCGAGCTCGAATGACAACTTGTTCGAGTCCTAAACTATCTATATAATGAAACAGATAAGTTTTTGAACTTATAGAGATATATTTTCTCTCAAATTTTTCACACCCCGCACACTCCCCCCCCCCCCATCCCCCCGAAAAAAAAAATTCACAAACCTAACACACACTCTACAATAGTACAATACACAGCTACACCTACATACACACTCCAATACATACATAGTGTCATAACTCATTGTATAGTGACTTTAGTCACGAGATATTGTATTCATAAATAAGTCAAACTTTGTCTTGAACAGAGTTTAAATTCGAATCTAAGCTCAATTGAAAGCTTAGGTTCAATTGTTTCACCAAACAAGCCCTCTTTGGAAAAAAAAAATACTAAGCCGAGCTTCATGATCCCAAGCTAATCCTAAACGCTCATTATGAACAAAAGATACAAACCCGAATAATCTAGTACTAAGCTTGGTTCGCTCACTGATGCAGGTAGTGTGAATAAAAAAACGAGATCAAACGACAGAAATTATTAACTTATTGATTATCGTAATAATACCATATTAGAGTCTTCAAGAACCTTATTATTTTTAAGAATACCAAGTGGAATTGAGAATTGAAAAATAACTCATCTAAATTTTATTTAAAATAAATCAAAGTTGCTAAATCAATTTTCAACACCATATAAATACGAAATTTTAATGGTCCTAAATTACTAGAAAAAGCAATCAAATACACAATATTACGAAAATATCCCAATATCTAAAAAGTGTCATAAATGTCATTTTTTGGCTTAAAAACGATGGGTTTCAGGCTTCAATCTTTTATTCAGATTTCCGAGAGTTTTCCAAAATGGGATCTTATGAAATTTTTTGACATTGTCACTTAAAATCAACCTAATTGGTACTTAATCGGTGCTACTTTCGACAGTCCTGATCTGTCATGTAGTCTTCTGCTATGACTGTTGCATCACTCACACTCCTGCCTTGGTCCTGCTACAACTGCAACATGTGAAACTCCCTCAACTTCCTTACAAATCCAATAACAAAATGAGAGGGAAAGCAAAACTCAATTAATCAACTCGTAACGTACTATTTGGCATACAAAACTATGGTTTTTTCTGGTTATGCAACTAATTTATTAATTTGGTAAACATTCAACAAATTGAATGCTCCTAGCCTACTCCCACTCTCCTCTCTCCTCCATAATCTATCTGTACATGAACGAAAAATACCGCTGCTTTGGCTAATTCTTTCAGCAATTCTCTTCTCTAAAAAAGTTGCCGGGGTGTGTCAGCATGCAGTATGCTTCGAGTCAAAGCACCACTGCAATCAGCGTTGCTTAGCTTTAAAATATCTATTGCCAACGTTTCATCGACTTGGCTGATGGATGGACTGGAGGAGGTGTCTTGGCATTCCTGTTTTCATTACCACCTATGAAAGAAAAAGAACTCAAATCAGATGAAAACAGCCCAAAAATACAATACTATGGAGTCAGATTTCGAGCAAACTGCAGTGTAAGTTAAGGAAAAAGGGGCTTGTGTTGATCTACTTACAGGAGGGAGTGGGATTCCCGCCAAGTGAAGATCTTCTGGAACTGTCTGATGGTTGAATGCCAGTCAATGACTGTCTCCGTAGTGCCCTTGGATTAGATGGAGCTGACAACTTTACAAAATTTATGTTGCTTGTGCCATTAACAGGCGATAGAGCTTCAGTCAGTTTCTGTTGGTTCCTGTTATGCAGCGTAGAACCATTGAGAGAGCGGCAGGGAAGCAACTCACACTAGAAATAGTTCAGTTTTTGAAACATGGTTCCTTATAATACCATCATCCAGGGTATTACACTAGAAAGGTACCGCGCCATAAATTGATTACAGCAGTTGGCACCTAGGAACATAACAGTGTCTATATACGACAATATAGTATCCGAACTGTATAACTCCAAGAACACTCATTCTACCATGAATAACATTTCAACTAGCCATTATAATGAAATAAGATGCACGTTAAGAAGAAAACGTTACCTACCTCTTTTCGGAGCCATTAATCAGTTTCCCAATGGTCCGAAGTGATTTACGTATTTGAGATCCTTTCCCATTTGTGCTATTAGTGAAGCCAGGTGTCTGTGACTCTGAAGAAGTAGTATGCTCACCTTGCATCCCCGTTTTACCTTCATTTCTAGCAAGTACCGGTGGCTCAGGTGTTCTGGGCAGTTGAAGAGATGGAATTTTCGTTCGACTATCTGTTTTGACCACTAGACTTTGATAAGCAGAGCTTGTGGGACTCCGAGGAGCCCTTTGGCAACATAAGTTCACCATGGACTCGCCATTGCAGATATGACCATATGGTTTTGTGACAGCTTCAGCATCTTGAAGCTGGCCAGATTCCTGTAACCACGCTGTTTCCGACTGTAGTGGCTTTCTTGTGGATTCTAATATTTTGATCTGCTCAGCGTCCTTATTAGCATATCTTGGCCCTTCCAAACTTAATCTTCGTGAGCGAGTTTTTACAGAAGGGGTTTTGGATCCCTTTTTAGTTTCAAAAGTAATTGATTTCTCCATATTCACGGTGCTGCAGTTTTCAATGCTTAACCTTCTGGGACGTGGAGGGGTTCTCTCAGTCATCGCTTTGTTTTTGTCAAATGGAGTCCTTGCTGTTTCCATTGGTTTATTCAGTTGAATCCGTGCTTCCCTGTTAGCCAACACCTTTTTGAGGCTGTCGATCTGCAAGGTTTGAGTAAGTCAACCACATGCTGATGATGTTCTACTGCATAAACTTTTTTTTTTTTTTTTATGGTTTTGGGGGGATGTTGAATCTCCAGGGTACAGCTATGGCTTCATAAATGATTAATCTTCACCAGAGCAATAGCATGTAATAAGATATGTTTACCTGTTCTTTAAGTTGCATGACTTCCCTGCTTTCTTTGTTTGTGCAAGCTGCACCAAGTTCAATGGTTGAGACTCTCTGAGCGAATTTCAAGGTACTGATTGTTTCCCCCAAATATTCTCTTTCAGGACTCACATGAGCAAACATCAATGTTTTGGCATTTCCTCCTGTACCATTTTAAAAATATGTCAGTGTAGAGTATATACAACTCTAATCTGGAAAACAAAATCAACCACATTGCAAATCAAGTTTCTCAAGCTTGTCATGTGACCAGAACACAGTATGATGAAATACTTTGTTACCATTTAGGTTTTTTATGTACTGCAAATTCAAAAATATGCAGGTCATATAGTGTATGAACTTGGTGCAGGAGAAAGGTGTTTTAAATTGCATATATATACCTAGAGAGGTCTGCAGGAGTAATGTAAGTTTGCTGTTTCTGTAAGGGATGTAAGAGCTCTTCTGGGCCAAGGCTGTGATCACATCTCCCAAACAGGAAAGAGATTTATTTATATACTGTGCCTCCTTGAGCGCATCTCCTGTAACTTCTGACTTGTCCACCCGTTCACTTCCTGCAAGGTCAACCAAATGGAGGCAACTGCGAAGTGCGCTTCCAGATACATCTTTACCATGAATATGTACCGTCAAGATGCTGTAGAGAGAAAATATTCCATTAGTATAAGAAACAACATGAACTAATGTGCTTAATTAAACTTTTTATAGGGAATTTAATTTAATTACATTGGTGTTACAAAGTCATTGTTGGTCTTTGGTATTAATGCCAAGAACACTGCACCAAGTGAACATAGGAACTAACACAATCAGTATTATTCAGTTCTTAGAATTTGACCTGTGAGAACGGCTACTTTGGTCGTTGATGGCAGTGGAACTGACTGCACGATTAACCTCACCAAGTTTCATCAGGTGAAGAACGTCAGCAGTAGACTTCACCGGATGCATTGTAGCCTGAGGAACACTCAAGCCATCGTCACCTGTACAACTCCGTATCTCTAATTTGCTAGTAGTTAAGAATACAAATAAGTATACCAGTAAAATAGTACTCTCTTACTTTCAAACTTTCATTTGTGTTTTACATTGAACAAAAAAAAAGTCAATAGGTGATCCAAAAAGAGTTGCCAATTTTGAAAGGATATTTTGTGGTTGAATAATCTCCTGCAAGGAGGTCCCGGACTTGTTCATTGTATATCTCGACCATTTGTACACTGATGTCATACTTTGTGATGTCCTTTCTTCTATTAGATAGTAGAAAGAGATCATTGAGAGCTAGATAATTGATCCCCAATTCCTTACGTGATCCACCAGAAGGACCACACTGCCAACAGAGAACACATCAGCTTGGAAAATCTTAATATAAGTACACAGACCCCACATATGGTTGCTGTTGTAATTTATTAAGTTTATTTCAAAATACATATATATATATATATATTTATGTGTTTGTGTATGTATATATTTAAATTGCTTTGAACAAAATGTAAAATTAAAGTTGGTTATGCTCATAGCCGTTAATGTGCCGATTCAAACAATAGGTGTCAAAACCGTAAGTGGACTTCAAATTGTGAAAGTTTTCCAACACTTGGGAAATGCACCTCTTCATATGGGCGTCTGTTCACTTTTAAATAGCATACAAATGCGTCACTTCATGGCCCATCAAAAGTTGTAAGCCTACTGTTGTGCAATTGGGAATGAGCACTGTTATTTAAGAACACCGGATTGTATAAAAAAATATACATATATATATATAACACACAAAAAGGAAAAATGAGAGGGATATTCTGTGAGTTTTAGAACAGTGGGTTTTGTGAACTTTTTCAACAGTTTATACCGAAACTTTTCTGCAATCCAATCTAAGTATACTGTTTTATTACTTTGTCATCCGATTCGGGAACAATTAAGAGTTGTTCGAGACACCTTCACATTTGCGACTGCACGCTTGTGAAGAAGGGATAGTTGAATCCTGGAAGATAGAACGTCATAACCTGTTGCACCGGGTTTCATACTCAGAGGGGTGGAAATCTATTCTTAAGGACAGTGACTAAACGCTTCTATCAATAAGTTTTCTTGCCTTGTTTATTATCTGTAGCATTCTTGAATTGATATTTTTACAACAGTTGCATGACAATGCACCAGAGCTTAAAATTACTTCATTCCACTTTAGAAGGGAGGCCCATAGTGCCGTAATGGATCTATATAAAGAAATATAGAACCTACTTTACTGAAGCTAAAACTTCTAAAAAACTTACCATGGTATGTGTTTTGCCAGATCCAGTTTGACCATAAGCAAAAATGCATACGTTGTAACCATCCATCACAGATCTAATTAGTGGTTGAGTATCCTTGAACACCTCATCTGGAAAATAAAAATATTATTATGCAAGAAAGCAGATAATCTACAAAATTCTAAACTAGCAGAATGTAAGGGACTATAACCTTGAGTAGCAATTGGACCAAAAACACGATTGAACTGGAAAACTTTCCTTCCATCTTTGTGGGGCTTCAAGGGATCTGAAACCACTACAGAACCATCTTCTCCAGTAAAATCTATCACATTTTTTGCTTCAGAATTAAATGCAGGTCTAATTCTGCAGTAAACTCGAATATTTCCTGAAGAAATTTCAATTACAATACAATGATTTCAACTCAATCTTAATGATACAACACAACAAATGCGTAAGACAAAATCGTTTACAACACCGCAATTAACGTGTCCCCAAGTTCAACAAACCTTTCAAATCTTGCACCATGTTGTACAGATTCCTGTTCTCTTTCACAACCTTATGGTAACCAAGAGCAGCAACGGATAACTCCTGCACTTGACTCTCTAAACACATGCAAGAACAGAGACACATTTACACTGTCAAGAGAACGTCATTTAGGAAACTCGCATAATGTTATAAGGATGTCATAAACCATGGTTTTCGTACGAAAACAACTAAACTTAGAACTTTTGTGTCCTTGTAAACTCCACTTTTTAACGCTCAGCAACAGCATGCCAAGTGACAGCTCAGTCATTCATTTAAAAACTAATTGGCCGGGTGGTCACAGAAACCATGGTTGATGTTGCTGGGCAAAGAGGATCCTGGCAAAAGTTTATTGTAATTTCACAAGTGGCCAAAGTACGGCTGTACAAGGATAAAGTCTTGCAGTTGCTAAATATTTTAAAGCGCCATTCCAAACCAGATTGGCAAACTCTCCAAAAAGAGTTTTTTAAGAATTTTTTTCATCTCCACCGCACTAATGCACTTAAAAGACAAATAATGAGAGAGAAACTTTTATCAATGTTGGGAGAGATTCAAGGACCTTATCCATGCTTGTCCTCACCATAGTTTTGAAAATTGGACTTTGATAGGATTCTTCTATGATGTCTGTCTCAAGGAGAGTTCATGGAAAAAAGTCATGATGTGGGACTCAGCCTCACATGCCAGCCTAGACTCTAGGGTTACCACTTCCCAATGACCTTTAGGGCCAAGATGGTCACCTTATCCCAAAAGCTCGAGGCTTTGGAAATGAAGAAGGTGAATAAAGTCACCTTTGTGCCTCCACATAACAAGTGTGTGAAATATGTGTTTTGTCTGGGCATCCAACCGAGAAATGTTTCACCATTTCAGGTTTTAAGGATGTTTTGTTGGAACAATCTAATGCAATCTTCAGATTCAATAAGCAATACTCCAACACATTCTAAACTTACAATCCAAGGTGAAAAAATATCCTATTTTTTGTTGGAGAAACACACAAAATCCCCCGGTCAACCACCCACCACAAGGACCACCACCAAAATATCCACTATACCAATCACCACAGATAAGGAGTCTAGAGGACACCTTAAATTAATTCATGCAGAGTCAAATGCAATTCGATACACAGACTTCACAATCAATAAAGGACATTAAGAGTCACCTTAAAAGATTGACCCAGTCTATGTCCACACAAGAGAATGGCAAGTTTCCTACCCACCCCAAACCACCACAAGGTCAGTTTCGTATAAGTGTCTCTCCCACTTCTGATGTACAACTTGAGCATGTACACCAATTTTCCATGATAAGATTACACCTGAGGGGAAAGAGTATCCACGATATCCCATACCAGCTCCCTTTCCCCAAAGGTTGAAGAAGCCACAAAAGGTAAATCACCATGCTGAGATTTTCGAGTTATTTTAACAGGTGAAAAAAAATATTCATTTACTTGATACCAAGTTCTAAAAGACTTGTGCACTATCAAGAGAAATATCGACGTACAAAAGAGGGCATTCCTTATAGGGCAAGCTAGTGCCATAATTCAGCATAAGACCCCACCAAAATACAAAGATCCAAGTTGTCCAACAATTTCATGCCTTATAGAGAACTTCAAGGTTGAGCATATTTTGCTTAATCTTGACGCTCGTGTCAACTTACTCCCATATTCAGTCTACCAATAGTTAGGTTTTAGTGAGCTTAAACCCATAGATATTACTTTGCAGTTGACAGAACGACCTATCTGATGAACATGATTAATTCTAGATCTTGAAGCTAAAGGATTATTTCTCCCATTGATATTTTCCTTTAAATTTTATGCACTAGTTTTTATAGATAAATCCAATCCTCAAATAATTTTTATTAGTTCTTCCTTTTCAAATTTTGATTTATTTCAATCCATGTGGTTCGACCTTGGACTTAACCGAGTATTTACTACTTCTTGACCACCTGCATCTGGGTATATCGATTCGGTATCAAGCAAGTTTATTGTAATTTACTGAAGTTCTTTTGTTATCTAACATACCCAGTTGTTTCAAATCGCTTTGCAACTGAGACTGCAAGACTTCAAAGTCCTTCTTTGTTCTCGTCCACAATGCTTTGAGATTCTGTGAGACAAAAGATGTTCACAGTCAATTAAAAAGATAGGTTATGGTCATAATATGAGTGCAGAATATAGCTGCCATATTTTCTTTTCAATGATTTCATATGAGCTTGTAAGCATAAATTTGTTTACCAACTGTAAACCAGATAAAAATTGGACAGAGAACAATTTAAAACTACACTCAACAATACACAAGGAAATGCTATATAGGCAAATTAATAATACAAAAAAAAAAAAAAATTGGTTTATGAAAACAAGGAAGTAGCAAATCTTCACGTGCTAATATGGTAAGATTTGTCAAGTTAAGTATATAAATAAACTTGATAGAAATTTACAACTTCATTCTTCTTGCTGGTTCTTTACTCTTACAGGCATCTTGTGGTTCCATGCTATGCATAATTGAAGTGAGTCAGCTTTAGAGTACTCTTTGGTAAAGAAAACATGTATAAACTGGACAAAAAACAGGAAGAAGAAACAAATATAAAGGAAAAAATACAGATTTCCAAACAGGAGAATGCATGGATACATATCCCATCCAGTTTCCTGTAGATAATTCCATTGAAATTTAAATGGTTTAATGGAAATATTTATTTAAGTGATCCATAAGTCGTTATTGCATCAAAAGTTTACAAAAGTCAATTCAACATATTTTTGTCAAAGAGATTCACATCTATTATTAGATTTGGTACATATTTACCCACAATGGGACAAAGTGGACATATATTTTTCTCTGCTGATTAGTTCAAAGCACTAAACCATGAGCAGAAAACTTACCAAAAGTTCCTTTTCTTGTACCTGAATTATATGCTTGTGATTACAGTTACCCTTTTTCAAGCAAGCTCTGCAACACTGTGTAACAGAGAAAATAATGCATCCAATAATAATGGATAAGGTACAGTATGCAATGTGGATGTTAATGTGTCCTTGTTCAGAATTGCATATGATTCTTTAGAGAATACAAGGCTCAAGAGAAGATAATATAATTTATCAAAATCCATGTTGCTGCTTCAAACAGGTTGGTTCTCAAAGATGATATTTATCGCCCATAATTCTGACAAGGTTGTTCAGAGACAAGTTGATTAACCGAAATATGGAATAAAATTCAAATATTGTCCGATGGATGTTGCACAAAAATTGTCTTCATGGACATGAGTCTGTCTATCTGTGTATCTTCATGCAACATTAAGATTCCAATAGGCATGTTTTTCATGGACACAACACAAAAGGAGTTTGTAGTCTATGTTTTGATTGGGAGGAATCATGGAAGATGTAAAGCCTTGTAAGCTTACAAGTTACAATAAACGACTTTTTCTAGTGAGGAAATTATGATGTGTCATTCTGTTTTGAAACCCCTTGCAATGGCTACATTTCAGTAGGGTAATCTAAGACTACACTTAAAATGGATATCATTTAAGGAAAATAAATAAAATGTCATTAAACTGAGACTGGATACAACATACCTTGGAGTTTCCAGTAATGGATAGATTCTCGAAGGGTGACAGTGAATGGCCATCTTTTAAGACAGATTTCAACTGTATGAGAATAGATGAAGTAAATGTTGTTTGGCCTATTGCAAGATCATGAAGCAGAGAAAACATAACAAACTTCCAAAAAGTACAATATAAAACTTGTATACAAAAAAAATAAATAAATAAGTTGTAACAGTACAGCAAAATTTATCATTATGTAATAAACATAGCATGTCATTGACCCGAAGAGTTAATTTTATTTCTCTACGTTGTGAAGCAATAATCAGATTTACTAACATGTGAAACAGAACTAAGGCATGGACAATGTCCTGTTTTGAAATCAGTAAAGAGCCAAACAAATGTTGCTACGCAAGCATTTTAATCACCATTAGTCATACTAACATAGGCTAGCAAAGGATTTGAGCAACAAATGTATATTAGTACATGCTACAGAAATGGAAAAGCAACTTTGATCAACTCACCCCAGGAAACTTGTTTTGAAATTCTTCCTCCAAACAGCTTGAAAAGATCGTGTTGAACAACTTGATAGGATCCTGAAATGAAACCATTTCCAATCTAGCTCTATTGTTCAAATATTTTCTTGTTTATTTAGAGAGAACAACATATATCAATTAAATAAAACTATACCCGGTTTCCATTTCGGAAGGAAGTAAGAATGTTATCATCTATATTTTCCTTTGTGTCAACCATAAATTCTACAATAGCCTTGACAATTAAATCTGCAAAAGCCAATTAAATACAGAGTCGCTGAAAAGAATGAAGATTGATGGAAAACAACGAACAACATCAAGGAAACCTGAAAGAGATAGTGGGTTAGACGTTCAACATCAGTTTCTTGGAGAAAATAATACGTCTTCTTGCCTTTTTTATGCAAAATAATGGTCGACTGACATTTCTTCAAGATGGTAGTCGCCATTTTGAATAAAACTTGCAGATACAAGTATTAGAAAAAAGAAAACAAAATGTAAATCAACCATTGCGCGGACCAAGAATAAAGTTATGCAACACAATCCTCATCTCAGGATTAGTGTTTTTGTCTGCATCTTACTCCCAATTGTAACTGAATTGCTCCAAAGGCATGCAGAGGTGCGAAGACACGAATAAAGATGGAAGAAAGAACCAGAAAGAAAACCTTCAAGTTGCTGGGTGTCACTCTCACTGGATTGTTGTTTATCACAGCCTGAAGACATGTCCAATCGCCTGCAAGGATCTAAGAGAATTGGTGCAGAAGCTCGCGAGTGGATCCTACTCGCAGAGTTCAAAACCAAAGGAGATTTTGGGGGCTTAAATATTCCGGTTCCTCCACTCATCTGTTTCCACTCATGATATGCTTTAAGTGATAAAATGCAGTCAACCACCTTAGCTGACGACCCCGCCTCCAAATTATCCTAAAAAGAAATATAAATCAAATTTTCAATCATGGATACAACTCCATGGATATGAATAAGTATGGGATGGTGTCATGATAGTGTTCAAAAACATACCCTTTCAAGATCAGATGCCTCAAACGCAGGTAGTTTCAACACTTCTACAGCTACCAAAAAGTTACGAACATTCTCAAAATATTGGTAGGCAGGCAATGGCTGAGATTCCCACGTGAGTGACTGCGTAGGTGAGTGAATCTCCACAACCTAAAAATAGTTTCCAAAAGCCAAGGCAATCAGAAATTGCAACTCAACCAAAAAAAGTCCTAATGTTGGAAAAGTATTTGACTTTGTATGCGTGAACATGAGAGAATAATTTAACAATCCGGCACTGATACTAAATTAAACAACTGTGTGTACTGTCATAAATAAATCCACTATATGCACAAATACCCAAGAATTGATCCAAACCCTAATTAAAAAAATTACACAAGCAAATATACTCTCATATTTCTAGGAAAATGTATTCTGAGATAGTAGTGCAATACCTTAGGGACTATTCCTGGTTGAATCTTGTTAATAGCATTGCAGAGGATCAAACCACTTCTCAAGCAAGAAAGGAACTCTTTCTCCGATGGCTGACTTGATATACCCAGTGGTCCGACTAAGCATTCCAACCAATGGGTAGCTTGGAATCGCCTCAAAGCTGCAAAATCAAAAACAAAACTTAATAAAAAAATTTATTTCCACTTGCCCTTAATAACAACTTTTAGACCTTAAAAGATATTGGAGATATTGACTTAATAGCATCCGAGCTGTACTTTTCAATAATTTTCTCTTCCTAATATATCACAAATTGATATAATCTTGCTAAAATCAACGTCACAAGAAATATTAGACACACTATCAAATATCAATTGCTAGAATACACAAATTTCATTAATAATTTTTGAATCTTAACCAACAGGACAAATAAATTTTAATTAAAAATACAAAAGATCTCTCTAAAGTTAACACACTGTTAGATTGCCGAGCGAGCTTGAGAAAGGAAAACAAAAGAAAACCAAGAACCCCAAATTTTATTTTCTCCCATTTTCTCAGCAGCCAAACAGGAAGTAAGAAAAAGAAAATAAAGAATGATAAATTTTTCACCTGCTTCCTCGGCTTTCCTCGAGGCCAAATTCAAATCATGTTCGTGTCTCGCTCTTCTTGATTGATCCTCCATCAATAACCCAAATCTTTGCTCTATTCATTCAACAAAGTACAACATCAACTACCCTATGAAATAATCATTCATCAAAAGCTTAAACATAACTACTGGACAGATCCAAGATTTCAACTTAGGAGACACTAGGGGGGCAGTTGGAAAAATGCAAAAGATTTTTCAAATCTTTAGTATCACTTCATAAATTCTGTCAAACTGAGGAATTTTTTAACCTCATTGCAGAATTGAACATAAATATAGACATAAAGAGAGAGAGAAAATAATACTCGAACTGACTTCTCAGAATCTTTCTACAGTTGATTCAAGATAAACCCCAAATCTCTATCTCAGAGAGAGAGAGAGAGAAGGGGGGAGAGGGAGAGTTCAGTTATGTACTTACTGAATTTCGATTCTTGCAGTTGAAATGGGACAAGATCCTTGGGCTTGGGATTAGTGGGAAATTTTAGGTTCGGAACCGCATCTGAGGCTCCGGATGTCTAACGTTACATTTTTTGAATTCAAATTGGTAGGGACTCTGTCAAATTAGATCCCAACTGTCCATCTTGCCACTCAGGAAGATCCAGTCAACAGATTTGATTTGGCTGAGTTTTGGACATTTCGTGACTCTATCAACAGGCGTGTACAACACGCCCTTGTTAAAGCTAAGCAACCCAACACGTGTCACTACTTCGTTGCATGCTCCATCGCCATGCCTACAAGAGCGCGTGCTCTGAAATTTAATTGGCTTGGGGATCTGCCACATTTTTAGCTTTAAATTCAACAACAAAGTGAGGTTTTTTTGGGGGATTATACTTTGCACGTGAAAGATTTGCGCTCAAACACACAGATAGTTTAATTAATACTCCTTCGGTTCTTAAATATATATTATTTTACATAATTTTTTTTATTTTATAATATCTATCGTTTGATAAAATCAAAACATAATTAATATTTTTTTTTTAAATTTATCCTTAATTTTTCAATGCATTAGATTAGGTAAAGGGTAAATGTCTTTCATATTCTTTTTCTTCCTAATACGTATTGAATAAGAATATTTTAGTCTTATGGAATTATTTTTTACTCATATTAGAGCTATTTAATAGTTTCCTTAATTCCTGTGCAAAAACCTTAAACGACAGATATTTAGGAACGGAGAAGGTAATAGGGATGAAAAGTAAACTCAGTTGTGCGGATTTAAAAATTTTGAAATTTTTTGAGATTAAATTATGATAGATTTATCTGATGCAGGGGTGATTCAAAGTATTTTGAAGCCTAACGCGATAATATCGAATAAGGTCTTTTATTTTTAATATTAAAATTTTATTAAAAATTAATTTATTTTTTATTTATTATATGTGTGTGAGATAAAGGGAGAATCAATGTTGTCGATAGAGATGTTTTATTTTTACTTTTGTTTTTTATCAGAAGAGAGTAAATGTGAGATAAATATAACTTGATTTTTGAGTACATTTTTTTTAATACGTTTAATTTTTTTTTAAAATTTTGATTTTTGAGTTTCTAATATTATGGGTTGAATCATGATCCCAAATTATTGAAATTAAAAATTTTAATAAAACTTAAATTTTTTAAGGCTTTTTTAATAGGACTTAAAATTTTTGTCAAGTTAAATTTTTGATGTGAGTTAATTATATAACTCAAATTGTGAGGTCTTCTCAAATTGTGGGGCCTAAAGCCCAAGTTTTATTTATGATGAGGTTGGGAATACCCTGCTCTGATGAATATTTTAGTTTCAGTGTAAATGGTTTATTTTTTACCAGATTGGAGAGATGATTAGTTGAAGTGCACCTAAGTTAACATGAACAACCCCTTAACCTTCGAACCAAAAAAAAAGAGATTTGCGCTCTGAAAAATTTAAGAATTATCATTTTGTATCTTCAAAGATTAAATTTATCGTATTTTACTCTCAATGTATTAAAAATATTACAATTTAGTCATTTTCATTCACTTTTGTTGCTTATTTCGTCAAAACCATCTAGTTGAAATTGACAAAAGAGACAATTCAAGCTAATAAAAATATCACATCGCAATTAGGGGTGATAATTGTGTCGTGTCGAATTTGTGTCGTATCATTGCGGGTTCGTGTCGAGCACTAGTCAACTCTAATTTAACTTATTTAATTAATCGTGTCATGTCGATTGACTTGTTCATTTTCTTGTTGTCAACCCTAATTTAACTTATTTAATTAATCGTGTCATGTCGATTGACTTGTTCATTTTCTTGTTAAGTTTGTGTTCGTATTCGTATTGACCCATATAAATCTCGAATAAAGAACTTAACACTAAGATTTAAGTCTAAGTTTCTATTATCAATTAATTGAATTCATGTTCACACTTTTTCTATGAATTAAAAATTAATTTAATAAACATAACAATAATAATGAATAAAAATATTTTTTTATACAATAATTATGTCGATGCTTAATAAATAATTAGCATTTTATTTCTATAATAATATTAGTTAAACGTGTCAATTTCGTGTTATTCATATTTGACACTAACTCAACCCATTTATTATTCGTGTTAGCAAATCGCGTCATTTATAGGCTCGTGTTGAAAAATGATCAAACTTAACCCGTTAATTTCGTGTCAAGTTCGAGTCATGTTGTGTCAAAAATTGTCACCTATAATCACAACTCTTTTAATACATTAAGAGTGTAACGTAAAAAATATAGTTTTTGAGATGTAAAATAAAATAAACTAAAATAAAAATAGATCTTTCAGAGTAAAAATACAATTTACCCTTCTTTTAACATTTGAACAAAGTACCTGAGTATTCTTAAGGCCCTATCAATATTTCAAAGCTAAATTCTTTTGAGGCTTTGTCTAGTTTTAATCCTTTCAGCTTATTTTATCTTGTAATAGTGCAAGTATATTGCATAAAGAGCTCGTTAACTATGGGTACGAGGTTCCAACTATTCTAGGTGCTATCAAGCAAGAAGATATAGACAAGATATGGTAAAGTTCTTTATTTGATGACTTTTTTTTCACTATGGTACATGTGTTCATTTATAGATAGTTATTAGCTGTCATTATTTTTATTTCACAATACATGATTTGTGTATGCGTTCCTTGAGAAATTATAGAACTTCCAAAAGTGTTTTAAGATTTTTCTTCAAATGCTGAAGGCAAAATACATCGTAAACTCACATTTTGATTTGAATATTTTTTTTAATAACACGGTTTGGATCCAGAATTATAGACAACTACTAAAAAAATCAATACTAATTTGATTCAATATCAAAATCAACGACCACAAATACAAATAGATACAAGCCTGCAAGTAAACAGTGAACTAAATAATTTAGACAATGAATTAAAATTTTGAAAAAAAAAATAACTTATCATATAAAAATGACATTGAAATATATAGAAAATATTGAAAAACATGCCTGAAATATAAATTTTACCTTCGTTCTCATCTTTCCCCGTGACAAACAAAATATTTCCTTTGAATCTTCCCTTCAAGAATGATGTTCCATCGACGAAAAACAAGGGACAACAAAAATTAAAATCCCTAATACATGCATTGAATGCCACAAAAAAAATCTAAAAACATTTTGTTTCCTCGTCAAACTCCAACACCAAATGATTACTAGGAAATCGATTTGTGTTGGCAAAAAATTGACTCAAAACCTTCTCAACATCCTCCCATGCATAATCATAGCTAACTAAAAGACCAAAACTTAATTGAAAAAGTGCAACAATATCAATTGGACAAATGGCGGAATCATGTCGTGCCTTATCAATAATAAGACTAACAAAAAAATCTGAATTCATTCGTTTATTCTTTCTAGTGTGTATAAATTTTCCACGAATGTGAACATTAACCAGCTTAATAATACTAAAGTAACAATGTGAATTTTGAACAGAGGCATGAACAATTAAACACGGGCATGCAAGAGATTCTCTTGATGCACAGTTAACAATAACTCTTCACTTCTTATTCTTGATGTAATCAAACATAAAACCAACTTTAATAGAATATTTTCACAATGCAAGATGAAATTCTGAAACTTTTGCATCCAACTCTTGACTAACTTCTTTAATTGCATTAAGCTATCTACCAGAAAACAAATGCGCTAATGTATTTGCCACAAGTTGAACTAGTGGAGGCATGTTTCTAAATCTGTTAAATAAATGAGTTGACACGATCCCAACTACATAAGATAGAAACCTGATTAAATTAAAAATATTTGAAGTCGATAGGTTAAATCCTTCCATATCTGGGGCCCATCAATACGACGATCAATATGTAACATAATTTAATTTTCACAATTCCATTCTAAATAAATGTTATGTTTCCTTTTTTAAGCCAAATGTCAAATTATCCTTTTAAGCTGTGCTATGATGGTAGCATTGAGACACCTTTGAAAGCATGAAAATTTTTATTATTTGTATGGTTATCTTCATCATTTTAAAAATGGGTGTGGGTCATCTTCAATTTGACTATATGAAATTCCAACATTATCTTTTACTAGTCATGTAATGACTAATAATTTCATCCTTTATTTTTTTTTCCCTCCTAAGACGTGTAATTAGGTGAAGAGTCTAATCTTGATTTGATGATTCCCATAAATGACAAAAGATTTAGTTAACTTTTAAGAAAAAAAACAAATATTTTTATTGAGTTGAAAGTATGTGTTACTTTTAATTTTTTTGGAGCTGTCAATGGTAGAGTAGAATAGTGAGCCAATCCAAGGTTTAATGCTGACTGATATTAGTCGGCACGAGGGACATGATTTGATTATCTTCCTACTCCCAAAGACTGGATAAATAAGAAAAAAAAATTGATATCGTACCGACATTTATTGTTTTTATGGGTTTTTTTATTACTGTTATGAGTATTTTTATTATTGTTATGTTATCAAAAAAAAAAAAAAAATAATTATCACAGCGGTGATAAAAATACTCATAAAAGTGATAATTATTTTTGTATCAAAGAAAAGTATAAAAAATTGTTACCACAACAGTGGTAAATCATCCACAAAGTGATAAATTTTT